ACTTGTTCACTATTATTATCTTCAGTTTGTTTAAGTTTAAGAACTTTATTTTCATGTTGTAAACGAATAAATCGTTCTCTAAAATACCAAGAACTTTATAGCGACTATTAAAAGACAAAAAATACACGATTTACCTAACATCAGCTGGCAAATTCAGAAAATTCAAATCTTCAAGTGAACCGGTAAGTTTATGTTGTGAAGATGGCTGATCACCATCTGAAAATGAAGAATACATACGTTATTCTCTATAATTTACAATATTTGTATCTTACCTTCATCAATATTTACTCCACGAAGTTTTTCATTTGTTTCACGCAGTAGTTCGATTTCGTTTATTAAACTCTAAAAGATACGAACAATTGTTTCACAAAGTAATGAGGAAAGCTTCTATAAATCAATAAAGTCATTAAATTATTTGAAAACCTAATGACCAGATGACATTAAAACGGCTGTCTTATCGTTTAGTGCTTTCTTTGCTCTCCTTTGCACATCATCATTAAAGAAAAGAAATCCTCTCGATGTTATCAGTGTTAAAAATCTTTTTTGGTTTTTAATTCAAAAAGGACGAGTAAATTACTTAAGATAAACAGAACTCTCGATGCGAGTAAGAGGCGTCGAATCAATATCAAATACTATTGGAGATGTAAAATATATATTATATATTTACCACTTTTTCAGCAGCGATAGCGTTTAAACGTTCTTCTGTTCTTGTTCGTTCAAATTCTGCTTTATCTGTAATACGTTGAAGTTCAGAAATTTTTTGATACAATTCTTGATTTGTTTTCTTATGAAATTCGACTTGTGTTTGTAATTGTTTTGCCTTTTTATATTCTTGTTCCAAATTGGCTTTTTCATCGAATAAACGTAAATTTGTCTCTTCTAAAAATTTCATTTGTTGACGTAAATCAGACATTTCTTCTAACTTTATTTTGTATGCATCAATAGTTGATTCCAGTTTTGTCTACAATTAACAACCAAAGAATAATAAAAACGTCAATATAACACAATACATACCACTTTTTCAGATTTATTTCTTAAAACATCTAGTTCATCTTTGAAATTTCTTGCATTCGATGCAAGTACCATTAAATCATCATTCTAGAAAAGTACAATATTTGATTCAAGTTATATAACCATTTATGATATAACTGAGCGGAAAAGAGAGCATAAGTTTATCATATGTGAAAATTATAGGTTAACACACCCTTTTTAGTAAATTTTCATTATCTTCTCGTAGAACATCTAATTTAGCACGATTATCTTGAAGTGCTTTAAAATATGAAAAAAAAATTAATTATGAATTCTTACAATTGACGTAGTGAAAAAGTATGCCTGTTTCTAATTTAAAAATTTCCTCTTGTTGAGATTGAATACGTTGTTGAAGGGTAGCATACCGACGTCTTGGTACAGATCTAAAGTAGATAGTAATGAAATTAATCAATCTCAAGTGATCGTTATAAATAAACAAACTCGGAATCTTCTAAACTTTCAAATTGTTGTATACGATCATTTAAACGTGTTGTCTCTTGAATTAAACCAAGTTTTTCATCTTGTAATGTTGACACCTAATATGACATATATTTTTGTAATTTATTTAGTTGCACCAAATATTTTTTTACCTGAAGATCGAGTTCTCTACAACGATTTTCTATTTCTTCTTTTGCTTCGACTACACGATTTAATTCTTCTAAAGCATGTTTCAACTGAAAACAAAATAAAACAATTATGTTTGTTTATTACTACGTTGTTTTATTATTTGTGCTAACCTGATCACCAAGTTCTGAATATTCCTCATTTACTTTTCGATTTTCTTTAATCATCAACTATAAGACAATTAATATTTGTTGTAAGGTGAATAAAAGATAATCTCTTATGTCTTACTTCTTGGATAGCATTCATCAATACATGTTGAACAGATTCTTCCATTGACATGATATTTTCAATATAATATTGTTTACGGTCACAACTAACAGCAACACCTAATACTAATTGTAATAAACGACTAAGTTCAGTTTCATCCGTTTTATCGGCTAAAGAAAAAGTTGAGCGTATAAGTTGAACATTTTTAGGACAATTGTTAGAATTACCAATCATATTCAAATCTGGCATTTGAAAGTCCATTAATGTTTGTGTTAGAACCTTAAAAAACCAAAATTATATATTGCCTAATTCGTTGATAAAGATAAAAACACACTTCTGAATAATAGTCCGTAATACTTTTCAAAACTTTTTTCAAATTGTTTGTCTAAATTAAATATAGTAGAATATATTTCTATTATTTAGTACAACATTGTTTTCTACTTTAATTCTCTGATTGTCTGATGTGTCACTCTTCAGTTTAGCTAGCCAAGATTCTGTAAAATAATTTCCATCACTGAAATAACAATAAGTATAAATTCAACTTGTTAGTTGAGATTGCATGTTAACCTACATGTTTTTCAAACATTTTGCAATGAGTATGCCATCATCTGCAGGAGTTTAGAAAACGATATTAAGGTACCATACGACTTTGAAAATGACTTACTTAAATCGCCACCACCGTTTATCGGACTATTTAAATCAAATGTTTTCATCTTCAATAAAATATATTTTTTTAGACTATAGAAAAAGAGAACGTTTAACATACCCATTTGATAAGACTATCACAGAGAATACGTCTATCCATGAAACACTTTAATCTATAAGAAAAAAAGCTGTTTGACAATTCTTGACATTTCTCGTTAAAGAACAATCTCATGTGTGGCAAGTTAAAAACGTAAGTTTTACAGCATTCAAATTAAACAAGAAATAAGTTCATTTTTTCGATATTAGAAAGTCACCACGATTTTGAATCATTTCTGAGAAGTAACTGAATGTTTCCAGCAGTGAATCAAACCTACTGAGTTTGGTCGTTTGAAAAATATCTTGTTGTGACGAGCACTCTTATGTTCAAGAGTGATAAGAACGAGTTTTTTTACAATCTTATATCTTTTCAGAAAACCCGCCGACAGAAAATGATTGCTTGATATTGTGACAGCTGCACGAAAGTAGTTATATGTATTTTTCATCGGATCTGATACTGTTCACTTCTTTGCCGTAGAACGTTCCAGTTTTGATTCTTAGCACAATTGACGTTGTGGTTACAAGGCTGTACGTTCCAATATAGGAGTAGTTCTGGTAGAATTTTTCATGGACAGCGACATACTCAGCACTAAATCAAGGGTGGGCCATGGCCCGCTACTTAGAAATTTCGTTTTCTTCATTTCACAGTAGAAAAAAATATTTTGATTAAAATTGAAAATAAACATACTACACAAGGACTTTTTTTACTTTTTTCTTTGGTCAAAAAAAGGTTTGTCTGTCCCCTACTGGAATCCTGGGTACGTCGCTGTTCTTGGGTGAAGAAGCAACACCTTATTCTAGCATGACACTTGAATTTTGTAGTTTCATGAAAGAGCAATAACAAAACTTTCCACTGATAAGTCAGTAGCATATCTGACTAGCTTTTTTTATATACTTAAGCCAAAAGTGTGGTCAATCTCGAGAGAAAAATCAACTTTTTTATTAGATTTTGCTTTTGCATTGCTACCAACAGATGATCGGTACCACTTATTCTATTGGTAGTAGTGGGAATATAATCAGTGTTTTTAATAATGCGTGCCACAGCACTATGAAAATTTACTTAGTACTCTGTGTTTAGCTGGAGAAATGTGAAAAATTCACAACTAAACTGTAGACTCTCAAGTCAAAACTTTTCATTAAAAACATTGGTCTGAATAGAAGAATGACATCAGTCCAGTTGGATTTTTGCTGTGTGTGGCCTTGTCGACTGTACAGTATAGTACACTACAAAAGTTAAAGGAGCATTAAGTAAGCAATTCTATTGGCTGAAAGTTAAAGGAGAAGTTAAGTGATGTTTTCGGCATCACTTCACTTAACTTCTTCCTTAACTTTCTTTGATTATGACTAGTTCATTACAAGCCAGTAACAAGCTTGCATTAGGCAGCGAATGTGGCTGTGTGTTGAAAACTAGAAAATTATTTTTTACACAAGAGGGAAAATATTCAAAGAGGTGAATGAAATAATCTT